AGGAAGGAGCCATTACAACGCAGCATTAGTTCGAATTCGACTTCGAATCGACGATAATTTTTTCACTCCGGGGGGGGGAACTAGTTCGAGTTTGAGTTCGAATTCCAATCGACGACAGCGATTTTGGAGTTCGACTCTTTCTATTCGTCCACTGGGTTGACTTCTAACAGTTCCAGTTCGAGATCGAGTTCGAGATCGAGTTCGAGTTCGAGTTCGGTTCCTTCCATATATATCCTTTCAAGGTTAAGTTCATCAATACTGTATAACTGTTTCAGTTCGAGTTCGAGTTCGAGTTCGAGTTCGAGTTCGAGTTCGAGTTCGAGCGGGGCACACTATGCTAAGGAGTCAGGAAGCGAAAGTGAATTGCCTCCTTCTCACATAACATGTGCTCAATGGGGATGTTATGGCTGTTATGGGACTATAGAGGGTACATGACCTATGCAGTTTTTGACTCAAAAACTCTGCGCGGACTCAGCTTGACGACCGAGGGGCAGTCCTGCAACATCACCTTGCTTTGCAAGAACCTCCTCATCTCCACAAGTTCTTTCCAGCAAGCCCCGGCCTCCAAGTCTCGAGCAAACACTTGACATCAGTTGACAAACAGTTCACATCTTTGATAGCTTTTGAACGGACTTTGATGCTTTGCAGCGCAATTTGCGGGGAGTTGAGTTCAGAGTGTTCCACTCTCCATTCCAAAGAAGCTCAAATCATGCGTCCTTCCGACAGGCTCTCCGTCCAAACGTCCAAAATCGTCCCAAACGTCCTCAACGCCCAGACCGGTCACTCGTGAGAATCGCCACGTGCCGCCCAGCTACACCAAAAGCCCTCCGTGGAGTTCATAGCTTGTAAAAAAATTCACGACAAGGCCCTCCAACACACAGACGCGAAGAATGAAGTCCAAGACCTTTTCTGGGAGCCGATGAATCACCAACATGGCTCATGATAGCTCATGGCTTCCAAACAGCCGACACTTGAGCTCCCCGAACTTCTCCCCCCTTTCCCGTGTCCCGCAAGGCACACTTCAGGTAAGCGGGCTGGGCGCTCTGCGGCAGCGTCAGCTCGAGGTCACAGCCCAGTCCGCAGCCCGCCAGGCTCAAGGACCGCAACGAGTGGCCGAGGCCTCGGTGAGAACGTCCGTCCGTCCGTCCGTCCGCAGTGCCCCCAAAAAAGCGTCCGACGCCGAGCCGGGGCCGCGTTCGGGGAGCGGTTCATACAAGGCCTGTTGAGAGCCGATGGAATGCACATGGGATGCACATGTTCGGACTGGCTCGTTCTTTATTTGGTTCCGTGTTGGTTCCATGGTTCCCGTCGAAGGTGAGTCATGACATGCATGCTGCATGAAGTCATCAATTCAAACCTTTTGCTCAACCAAACCAAGTATTGAAAGGATGTCCAAACATCCAAGCAGATCCAAGCAGAATGCTCCCAAAACTGCCTTAGGACTTCGGCCTCTTTTCAAGGACCACCTTCGATTGGGCCATGTCACAGCTTCTGCGCAAAGCTCCATAGATCGCCAGTGCGCTGCGATAACTCAACGCGATGCCTAGCGCCGAAGGGCAGTTGATGGCAGAATTGGAATCGGATTGAACCGTTCAAATTGTCCAACAAACATAGAACTTGCGTTTAAAATTGGAAGGGGCAAGGGCCTTAGGGCCTAAAGGGTGTGCAGTGCAAAGACAGGTTGAGCGCACACACCCGTTCAGCTTCTGCCAGAACCCAGGATCCCCAAAGTCCAGTCCTGAGGGATTTCATTCGAGGTAGTTTGTTGATGCTCGTCTCCAAGATCATGGTTGGGACATGCCTCACATGTTCACATGTGGTCCATTTCAGATAGAGAGAGGACGAGCGACTGGATTGCCTTTTATCTCACACACACACACGCCTCAATTGGTGCGACTGGATTGGCTACATCCGGTGCTTGTTCAGCTTGTTCCTTGTACTGATGGGTTTGGAGGAATTTGAGCACTGCGCGCATCTCACTATCATCTCACTCCAGACTTCCAGCAGCCTTGACAAACCCTCTAATCTTGAATCCATCCCCACACTGCACTGAATTGACTCACGGGATGCTCAAACCAACTTGGCCCATGGCAGCCATGGCATTGGCATGTGCCTTTTGATTGGGTCGCTATTAGGCCGGAAGCCATCGCTAGCAGGTTGGAGGCCATCGGTAGCAGGTTGGAGGCCATCGGTAGCAAGTTGGAGGCCATCGGTAGCA